GGGGGGGGGAGACTCCGTTATGACAGGTTTCCGTCTTACGCAGGATCGATTGTATCTCCATCTGGTTCAAAACAGGGCGCTTCGAAAATGTAACTAACAAAAAAAATGTGAGGCAGCGTGGTGGAATCAGGCTCTCGTCGATATTTGGGCATGTAGAGTCATTGGTATCATCTTAAAGCTTGTTCACTTGTCTTTAATCTGATGAAAAAATATCCATTTATCTTGAATACAAGTCGAGATATCTGCGAAAGAAGGAGGTGGGGGTCACCTGTTTTCAGAGGTAAAATTTGTAAGAAAATAAAACGATTAGTTATCTACTTAGCTTAAGAGTCCGTGGTAACAGAAACTTTACATTTGTGTGCCTTTAATCTACGTTTTTCAGAAAAATTCACACAGAAACGAGTTTGGTAATGGGCATGAAAGGTGTTGAGCCAAACAACAAAAATTCGAGAAAAAATCACAAACATGCGGAATAATGCAAGTTTCTTCACTTTGATTATTTTGACGAGAGCCTGATTCCACTACGCTGCCTCACAAATGTTAAAAACCCTGACAATATAATAAACCAACTACGGCTGAGCATTTTTTTTATACCGCCAACCCCCCTTTTTAGAAGACAGTCACAAATATAGAACATAACATATATACATAGATCAAAGAACACCCCCCCCCCCCACACACACACACACACAAACAAACAAACAAAGTGGGTTTGTTTGTTTTAATCCATATTGCATCCTCATTCCATTACCAACCGTTCTGTTTTTGGATTCCCTCATAGACATCCACTCATGTTATTATTACTACCATTATAATTACTAGGAGGTCCCGCCCCTTAAATAACCTAATAGTGTTGATAGGGGCGTTAAATCGATACCATTTTACCATTTCATTTTTCCCTCCCTCCCTCCTTCCTCCTCCTCCTCCTTCTTCTTCTCCTTCTTCTTTTTCTTCTTCTTCTTCTTCTTCCTCCTGTGCCTCCTCCTCCTCCTCATTCTTCTTCTTCATTTCTCCTCCTCCTCATAACACCTACGCCTCCTCCTCCTCCTTTTGCTTCTTCTATGAGCGCTCCAAACCCGCTGTGAGAAGACGGTCAAAGGCATGAGACCGAAACCGTTTGATCTTTTCCCCCGTGATTATGAGATTACAAATAAGATATACAGCTTTTTAAAACATGTATATTATATTACATAATGTGTTAACATTCGTTCTGTTTAATCAATAATGACAATAACCCTTTGCGTTCCTTTTACGTTGTAAAAGTCTAAGGTCCTTTTTTTTTTTAAATCTGCTCTTAAAGCTGTGCCATCAACAAATCTGATGTTATTGATACTTACACTTTTGACTTTGAGAATTAAGCATTTTTCTATATTTGTAAGGATTGTTATTGTACACGTATTATGTTGAAGAGGTTTGGTTACAAAACACGTTCTTGGCTCACTGCTCTTTTAATCTGCTTATATTTGCTGTATTCTCCACCAATTCCAGACAACAGAGTTACACACAAGGAGGTTGTACAGTAATAGAAGCTGCTCTGTGGGCGGCAACGCACGCCTGATAGAAGCCCCCAACGAAACCATGGTCAACCTGCGCCCCGACTCTCACACTGAAATCTAGATAGGAAAGAAGGTTTTATTCTGAGGTCCTTGAGATTAGAAAAGTCAGTTGACTTATTTTATGTTTTAAAACCCATTTATCTCATTACTATTACTGATGCCAAAATATACATGTCCTAGCGGCTACATATCTTTTAAAAATCCAGTACCTGTTTTACAACAACAGCGAATAACTTCTCTGTTAAAGAAAGATGAAGAAAAGGGGGTGGATGGAAAGAGTTTGAGTCTCCTATTAATAGCACTATACCCGGTTTAATCTATCATAGTAGTCTCCACCTGGGATCCCATCGTTAAATGATCGAGGTTCACTATAGATTCCTTTGCTTAAAGAAAAAAAAAAACAACCACAAAAAAAACAAAGCTTATAACTGAAAAATCACCCATAAGATCCCACTCTGGAGTTCCCGCATTTTAGACCATGTTTTACTGAACAAACAAAAAAAAAACCTTCATGGATCAATCACACTTGTACATACGTACATAATTATATACCATCACATGTTCGCTCTAAATTTCTCGACGAGTGGTACAATGTTTGCCCCAGGCGCAGGGTTTACACAATGAAAGGATCACACCCAGGTGTTAACTTTTCGACGCTTTGATTTCACCAAAAATCGAAAACTACAGCAAGACGTGATTTGGTAGGCAGGACCAACAAGGCCGCATCAGATGGGACCACATCTAGGCGATCATATCGAACTGTGATTTCATCGGTGCGTTTGTTTCCCTGACCATCTATCAGGTATGCATCCGAATTTGCTGGACAGATTTTGTGCCTGTACTCTTGGACTGTCCGATCGCCTTTGTGTAATGCTAAGCCAGCTTTTCATTTTTCGAAATTTAATTGGTGCGTTTACAAAACAATGATGAGTTATGACCAGAATATGAGCGGTGATTTCGGTCAGAGATGAAGGAAAGC